AAACCTTATTTTCAATAAGCAATCCTGAAAAATATTTGGGGGTGCTTAACTTTTTTCCTGGTGTATACATTAGTCGCTCACTTCAACTAAAATTTTATAACTAATTAAAAATGTCTCAGTTAATTAAAAAGCTTACAGTTCAAGACTGCCATGTCACATACACCTACCCCTCTCTCTTAATCAAGAAAAGTTCTAAATTCAAAAATATTAGAACAAGGCTTAAGCTTAAATTTCAGACACCCGTGGTTGACTGTATAATTATGTGAGTGTTATATGCAGACATAAGTGGATGTTTATTACAGATTCTGATTTTATGTATGATGATGGCGAAGGTTGTTTTCTAGCAGGAGGTACAGTAGTTCAACTGCCTACAGTTTAACTAGAAGTCACCATTTTCAAGAATATTTCCAAATGTTGCTCTAGAAGTAGGAAATTAATCTGATACGGACATAAAAAAGGAAAGGATGTGCAGAGTGCAATTTGGTCGGAGAGGTGCAATCCACAGTAAAAGATAAACAGTATTAGATATGAACATTCACAACCTCAACCGAAGAGACAAGGTTCAATAACCAGCCCACGGCATTAGGAGGTTGAGGATGAAAAAAAAATTGTAACATCAACACACTGGCTATGACATGTGTACTGTGTTATACATACCATGAACCCCATTCGTAAGTAAACAGTGTCATACATCAAGCAACTGGAATTACAAAGAGTAAGCAAGCTTTTGGCCAAAACTAAAGAAACTCCCAAAAACAACCATAGGATCAAGAAGTACAACAGACCGAATACAGCATTACAGGGTCATGGCATTGCCTTAGCTCAACCGTAAGAACAGAGGAATATCTGTAACCTGTATTACAAGCAAAATCATAACTCATTCAACCGTAAATGCAGGAAAAGACATCCTGCATCCAGAATTACATTTGCCCAACCATAGGAACAATGTACATGTGTCCTGTTGCCAGTATTACGAGGCAGACAAAGACTCACAAATTCAACCATAGGAGCAGGGAAAGAATCTCCTGCAACTGGAATTAACAAGAAGAGAGGCCTCTATTACACACAACCATAGGAACATGTTGGGGTCATCACGAATCTGGTATTACAAGGAGGATCCCATGTAGGATGGACCTGCTCCAACCAACATCTGTCCACCTGGGAAAAAGCATCCAGGAGAAATGGAAGGAGAGAAACCAGCTTTGCCCTCTTCTCAATAAGTGTATAATCATGAGTATGTATGGTAAAGTAAATTCTAAACTCACGCAGGAGGAAGCCTCCATGGTCCACCACCCCAGCAACTGGAAACTGGGAAGAGGTAATGGCTCCCTACTCCACTGGAAGAAAAAAAGAGGGGAAGTAAATGCGGTGCGAGTTTGAGCCAAAGCATACCTGACCAGGCAACACCTGCCATAGAGTGGGATCCCATTATCAGTGGTTAAAACTAGGGTTGCTGAAAATAAAAACAGAAATAAAAGGAAATGATAAGACTTACCCCACTCAAAAGCAAATGGACATGTGCAGAAGCACCATGGGAAGGAGATGATATCCACCAGAAAAA